ATCATTGGGGCAGCTATATTTTTTCTTGTGTATTTTGTTATCTCATAAAATTAAAACACATTATAACCATATAGGTAAGTGATAAAAATATTTACATATTACATAGAATAAAAACATTTTTTTTTAATAGGTATACGTACTTGGGTCCACTTACAGGCGGTATCATTATAATATTATATTTATGAGTAATAATAGGGTTTCGATCGCAAAGTTTCTATTAGTACCTACTCTGCGGGAAGGAGATGCAGTTATTTACTTACGTTTTTTGAACATCAAGAAGTGTACGGTGGCTCCAGGAAACGTGTAATCATATCCATACCGGTCCGGTTCGTTGAAGATGTTCGTCTGATATGCCTCGGCTCCCTGCAACTGTCTACCGTAGCCAGTCGACTGTCCCCGCGATTGTCCACCGAACGCCGAAGATCGCCCAAAATCACCGCGTTGTTGACCCATATTGCCGCCAAACCCTTGCTGCTGATGGTGGTTTACCATCCCACCAGCCCCGGGGTTCGACCACTGCATGTTGCCACCGTTGTATGGATACGCCAGGACGTGATCGCATGCGACCATCATGCACAACAACATCTACAACGTGAAGGTTATTATTAAGAAATCGTTAGGATAAGTGAAATATGGCGTACGATGTGCATCGTGTAATGGTTATTAGATATGAATATTATATTGATACAAGTCATGTGTAGGTATAGGTATAAAAGGTATATCGTATATATACTAAAGTGGTAAAGATAGAGTTTTTGAAAATCTCAAAAATGACATTTTAATTGTAGCTGCAGAACGAGATTATAGTTATTATATTAACACTTAGCAGCTATATTGTACGTGTGGACTGTAGAGCTGTTCAAAGATTATGATTCTTTACACAGATTCGTGTTTGGGGGATATTAGTTGTACCCAATCTGAAGGTACTATGCATAAATCAATTTCTGAGATATCACTGGTAATTTATACTAAGTTGCGAACATAGTAATGTGATTAATTATATTTACTAAAATATCACGAAACCTACTACCTATAGTCGTACGGCTTTATCGTGTAATATTATACTTTAATGATTTTGTCAAACCTTCTTTTTTAATGCTTAACTCGACAATATTGTAAATCGTTATAATCCAACGATAGTTTGGAACTCAAAATTTCTGTTTCGTAAATATAAGGCATTAATAACAGTAATTGTTTATATGTTATTTTAATATGTTATTGACGTTATTAGTGTGAAATAAACTTTTTGGATATCATTTTCAGGTTTACGTTTAGTATCTACTCATTCTTGAATATTTTTACCTAAATAATTTCTAAACAACAGATAAAAAATGTATAGGTAAGCTTATTAAATGTAGGGAATGAGTATGTAGCGAAGCTAATGTTTTTGTTTCCATTCGAACTTAATTTGAAACTAATTTTCAGGTCTATTGGAAAAATAACGATATGACTGAAAACCAAATTCTCTCTTAGTTATTTAAAAAAAAAAAAAAATAACTATTAACGATAGTTTAAAATTAAACATCAAAATATACACAAAATCACTTTAACAATAAAAAGGCGAGTAAGTGGGCAACGCTGTGCTGTGCCTTTGGTATCTAGAAATGCATTGTAATATGGATATATTAAATTTAAATTCAATAATTATTATATACAAAATAAGACTCTAATCAAAGACAGTCTGTCTTTCTAAAAGTTTACTAAGTGAATGTTATACATTTATGATATTGTGGTGATTAAAGTAATTTATTATTTTTACAATTAGACGTTGGTACTACTGTAGGTTAAATTATTTTTTGTCAAAAATGTTTCATTTGAAAAGGTCATCGTGTGTGTACTGTATAAAATATAATAATATACTCATACCTCTAACAGTCTCAAGTGCCCACGAACAATATTTTAAAAATACAACAAATTAACTAAAATATTTATTCTTGGTGTTATATACATATATCATAAATATATATGTATATATAATTTGGTCCAAATTTGAAATTATAATGTCTGTTAAAAATAACTGGTAGTGTTTATAAATTGTCTTAAATGTATTGCTTATTATGTGAACTATTTATGAGAATCCTTGTTTTCAATTTTCAAGCTTTCTGACCCAACAAATAAAATTTAATTGACATTTAAAAAAAAAAATTCTAAAAAATTGAAAATTGAAATATCCGTTAATAGCTCAAAACTATTCAAATATTTTGAAAATGTTATCAAGTATAGTTAACACAAGTATGTTGAAAATATGTTGGTAAAACTCTTCTGTTTTATTTTAATTTTTTGCTTGTTTTTTTTCTTTCTTTGATGTATTTGTAAGTTATTGGGATTTTTTTTTTGACCCCTCAAAGCACCAACTAGATTCACTTTTATACTAGAAATGATGCTGTTGAAAAAAATGGAGATGAAAGACAAGAAAAAAAATACATTGACGCATTATTGAAAAATAAATAAATTCATCACTCTACTCAGAAGTARAGTGCTATTTTTTTTGTCTATCAAAAAAATATCTTATGGTTACGGGATCTTTTTCCAAATCATTTGAAAAAATAAATTAAAACGGTATGCTTTTACTAGTATAATATTGTTTTTGAAAGAAAACACCACATCAAAATATGTTAATATWTTTAACGTTCAATTTTTACAATTTATACCACAATATGTATTAATCTAAAGACACTATTAACGGCAAATTGAAAAAAAAAACTTAAAATATGATTAGGATTTTCTGTTGGTCCAAAAATATCCAAGTTTATTCAAATATAATACATTTATTTGTATATCATGTTTATTATTACGACCCTGTCAATAATTCCCGTGAAATATCCTTATTTTTTGATTAAAAACCTAAACCTCATTATGTTAACTTGTTTGTCAACGTTGTTTGGTTTTCCGTTAACGATTCAAAATATAATTAACATGTATGTCAGTTATAAACATAAATAATAATATGTGCATTGAAAAATCAAAATCAAAAAATCTAACAGATAAATCCAACAAAAACATAATACATTATTTATACACGCCCGTAAACTATCTAAAAGAGAAACAAACATTAAGTCTTACCGAAAAGTGTAAAGCAGTGATCATTTTGTATTCTTCGGCGGGCGGACTGAGCAAATCGATTACTACGATGTTTATCAAACGGTTGCGAACTTAAATCTCGTTAAAGACTATGGACGTTTATATAGGTACACAGATAAAGAGGATGTTTCCGAAAACTGTCGACCTTGGCCATCAACCTGGTCGTGTACGTCAAGTATACAGTACCTTCCTCGCATATCCTCACACGTCGGATAATCGGATGGACGGACAATAATACAATATACGTCTAATAGCGTACTTAGTACTTAATCATGGTTATTATTATTAATATGATTTTTATTATTAGGCACGGTTCGATGCACCACACAATTAAATTTGTCAAAAACGTTACACGCCGCCGACGCCKCCGTCATCGTCACCTTGGTCTGCCACATTCAATAACCGTTGTCGTGACTCGTCGGACCACCATTTGTGAATCGGGGGCCTTTTGTGACGTATAATATCGTTTACTGCAGATATAAACGAAGACGTGAAAAACCCGACTCTTCAAGTTGTTTTTTGCCGAGTTCAGGAAGTGTTCCGTGGTATGATTGCTCGTGCATTAGGTACACCAAAATTAATTTAAAAAAATAATAATAATAATAATAATAATAATAACGAGTTATGTGTGGGGAGGCCGGAATCGGTTGTTATTAAATTCAAAATTGATAATTAATCGTTGAATTTCATAGATTATCCCACAGAACCTGCACGGAGTTCGGTACTCCCATGATCAGTATAGGTATCTAAAGATGTATCACCATGGCGTTCTTTGCTATTATTAAAAACATGTATGTTGATCACAAGCTAACGCATTCTGAATTTCGAAACAACTTACTCTGAGACTACTTGAAAACTATGTACATGTTATAAATTAAGAACAACATTTGTTTATATATTTTCTACTCGCTGATCAGGTGCTGCGTAAAAACTTTTCGATATTTTTTTTYACCACGAAAGGCGAGTTTTTTGCGAAAAATTAGATCACACGCTGAGATACCTACTCCTTATCATCATTGTTCGGAATTAATCAATAAAAATCAACATTTCCATAATATAGACAAAAACTTTTCACCAAATTTGTCCGCACGGTAATACCGTGTCGTTGGCAAGGCTGCCAGCGCGTCGTCTCATGCGTACGCCGCCAAACGTCGAAAGCAYCGCAACGGCAGACACGAGCGCGTTCAGTATATCCGGAAAAGCGTTCGGTGCGGTCCCTTCCRAAATTGCGGTGTCGATCTCGGTAGGACCGTGTGGCGAGACACGGTACATTTGTTTTCGTACTATTTCACGTCCGACGAAATTTGTTCGTAAACTATTTTAGGATTTTTATCTCATCAAAATTGTTTTTCTAATAAAAAAAAATATAAAAAGCACATATTTTGTAAGTATATCTAAATTCGAATTTATGTTCTGTTCTTCCCTCAATAAACTGTGTGTTAGTTATTCAGAAATTAATAGTTTACTTCGCGTATCTGTTATATTAAATTTATGCGTAGCCGTATTTATATAATTGGGTGTTTATGATAAAATCATTATCATAGCAGATTTCTTAAGCCAATAAAATCGTAACTATTTTTAAGTTGTATATTTTCGTTCTTGTGTTTTCAAATTCCGTAACAAAGTCGTWACTTCAACATTGAATAAAAATTAACTACAAAGTCATTTTTCATCATTTTAATATTATTATTATCTTTATTCAGCTGTTAAATTTCTTATAAAAAAAATTATCAAAAAACAATCATTAGTCTTGGACTCATTCCCAATGCATAAAAGTCAACATTTTATCATAATCGTTTTTCATTATATCCTTCTCAAATAGTTCATAAAGAATATAATTTGACACTATAATAAAAAGTAGGTACATTCACTTAATTTAAAATTATCTTATGAAGATCTATTATTATTATATACAAAAGAAAAGGAAATAACATATTATCAAGGCTGTTTCAAACCTCTTTTTAATTGGAGGACTTTGAGAGACAAACATTTAAATAATGAGATGATATTTATTCGTTTAGCTGTATTTTTAAATACGCGTAAGTCATTAATGCGTTAAACAAAATATTAAATAATTAATAATTAATWAGTGGTAATTTCTCACAYATTTTCAATTTAACTAGGTTTATTATTTAATTAGTCACAGAAAATGTCTCAATCATATTAATCATTATATTTAGATTTTATATAACAGTATATAATGCGGCCCTCACACAGTAAGTATTTTTGACTGTAGAGATACTGACAGTATTTGAACATATTGACATTATTGTGCTCAGACAGTCAGTATTAATTAGCGTTAATACTCAGTATTCCATTTGTGTTTGATTGCGTTGGTTTCCGTTTGATAAATATCACGCAGGATTTGTCTATCTYGGGATTCACTAGTACAAGTGTTTTGACTTTCGTCATCCATGTGGCTGCGAAAAACACACCGATGAACTGTCATTATTTACCACATACGGTTAATATCATGATCATTAAATAAATACTAAGGATCGATATCCAATTTTTTCATCAGTCATCAGTATCGTTTTTTCATACTGTCTAAAATATTGATCATGTGAGGGCTGTTATATATTATATCATTAGATTTAGATTTCATAAAAATAATCAATAGGTCCATATTATTTTTAAATGTACCWAGGTATATGCAATATATGCATACATACATGAAGCTATAATAATTATAGTCCTAAATARTTTAAAATAAAAATAAATGTTTATTCATCATTATCACAATTATTGTATCATACAAGTTATGAAAAAACTACATATACCTATAAAACTTATAATAACTGCCGTTAAATATCTGTAGTTATAGTTTTAACCAATTCAACTTGGGTCATTTTTCTAGTATAATATACAAAATAATTTGGTCGAATATCATATTACAGTGAAATCTCTTTTAACGGACTCCTCCAAATAACGGACGGAATTTCGGGAACGGAGAAATGTGGACTCACTGTATATCCTCTCTTAATAGCGGACGAAATTTAAGTGACCGAGAGTGTCCGGTACTTAGAGGTTTCACTGAATAATCAATCCATTTTGGAGATGGTTCAAAATTGTTTTAAAAACACTAATTGTATTTTGTCTGTATTTAATACTTAAAGATCAATCTTAATGTTTTTAAAAAATATGTATAAATTCAATTGTAAAAAATAATTATGATTTTTATGAATAGAATTTTTATACAATACGAAATAAAAATATCACTATATTATAATAAAGTACTATTATTATTATGGAAAAATGGTCCCGTTGCCACCCCCTTTGAACGGCCTAGTTTATACTTAGACGAAAGAAACACTTTAATTTATCAACCTTTACTCTCAATGGCCAAACGTAATTTACATAAGCCAACAATATTCTGACTGATGTGCACACCAGTTGATGTAGATTTGTATTATACATAAAATATTTACTATATTTTAGGAGTTTAATCATTGTTTTTAATTGAATGCAAAATATATTTTAAATGTAATTTTGTATTATAGAATAAATACAGTTTATCATACATATCATAATATCAGATATTGTATGACGCATACCTGTACATATAGGCACAAGTCACCACTGATAAATAACAGWACAAAGTGTTTGCGTTCTACAATGGACATTTTTACGAGACCGTATAAAGTGTTCACTTTTTACAATGTAAATTTTTACCCGACCGCACAAATTGTCCGAGTTTCGTATTTAAAACAATAGACCGAACAAAGTGGCCGTTTACCGTTTTGTGTGAATTAAAAACAACAAAATATCTACTCCAATTTCTTTTATTTGTGTATTGTGTTTYCTATATGAGAATATTAGAGACAATATATTATTTTCGTTTTAACTAAGCGTAAAATGTATTTTAGTAGCTATAGGCTATAAACGAAACTAATAGGTTTTAGGTCTAAATGATTCAATAATATGTTTTTTTGTCTAGTTATTATTATTATTATTATTATTATCATTTGTGTCTGGTATACAATAAGTACCTAGTTGAAATATATTTCAATTTTCGACATTTCTTATACAGCATAACATTTTCAAAATATTTTAACACATGAAGTCTGAAGTTAAAATCTTAACAAAATGCATAAGATTACGAAAAATATACAAGATGTTCTATATGATTTTATATCATTGAATTTAAATTTAACACACATATTATAATTGACTCTAGATACCTAATGAACACTTTTTTTTATATAAATGATAACTATAATTTTTAAAGAAAATTAGCAAAACTTATAAATTACAATGAATTTAACATCTCTCTCTCTCTCTCCCTGTATCTTTATATATATTTATGTATATATTTTAGAGATAAAAATGTATACAATAATAACTTTTTTTTTTACAATTTTTACTAAACTATTGGAATGTAATTTTTTTTGAAGAAAATTGAAAACTTCCAATTGTTTTTTTTTTCATCTGGTTCCAGTTCTGCATTCAAGGGGCTATTGCTTAGTTCCTTCTTCTATAATATGTTTGTAAACTTAAGCCATTATGCAGTTGAAATATTTATGATTATTCTACAACTTACGTATGATATTGGAAGTTATTTGACTATTAGAAAACTATGTTTTATTCTGGTATGTTAAATTCTTAGTTTATTCGGTATTAGTTTTTTTTTTTTTGTGATTTGGGTTTTTGTCATTCCTGTTCTTATTATATTTTTGTTTTCTTAGTTTAGATTTTTTTTCAGTGTTTGCCATTTAACTTTGAGTTCAATATTATCTAAGAATATGGGTGTTATATCAAATTGAATAATTTTTATAAAATATTCTATGAGAGAGTTTTGTTGATTRTAGAAGTACAAAAGAACTCGAATAACATTGAATAATTTTTAATTATTTATTTTAATAATTTTATATTTTTACAATAAAATAAAAACTGAATACAAAATAGTTCTTTTTTTATAATACTTTCTATTTCTACAACATTGAATATAAATTTAGATTACATACAATAAGAAAAATGGATTTCTTTATTTTATAACTCTAGAGTTTGGATGGACAAAAAATGCTTAAGACTTAAGTAAATATATAAAATAACGTTTAATATTCCTAATTCTTATTTCTTATTAATTGCATGATTTTATATTCCAAATTTCTAACTATACACTGTATCCCGTGAGAATTTACCCGTCGCGATATATTTTGAGATGATAAATATATCAAAATTTTTTTTTTTATTAGACTCACGTAGACAAGGGCTACATGTATTTTATTTTCTATTTWATTCAATTGTTTTGGTAAAAAAGTTATAAAAATTATTTATTAATTTTATAATTTTTGCAAAAAAATTAAGATATTTATT